CCGAGGTAGTCATTATTAATATTTTGGAACATATCCTTCATTCTCATCTTAGGTATGTACAGGGTGGGGCAAAAGTAGATTTACAGTTGTTCATGTGGAAAATAATGCAGGAATAAACTATGGCCCTAGCCGGTTTGGCTCAGTGGTTAGAGCACATAACTCCGTCGCAGCCTAGATCCCCGGCCCCAGCCCCAGCCCCGGTAGGGGCACGTGCCGGAGCCAAATGATAGATGTGTCTCTCTCACATCGATGTTTCTCTATCCTTTCTACTCTCTAAAGAAATCAATGGAAAAAAATCCTCAGCTGAGGATTAACAAAAAACACTGTTTCGAGTACTCACAACTGTAAACCAACCTACTTTTACCCCACCCTGTATTTATACAAGCTTGTTATATAAAGAAGAGTTTTAGTATTAACAAAATATTTTTAAGTTATATACTATGTTGTGTTTTAATTAAGAAATAATAAAACTCAATCGTGATTTTTCTGAATTTAGAGTTTATGTTTTCTATTTCATTTTAATGCAGCTTAGTTATTTTAAAGCTGTCGATGCTCACATCATATGGTGGAAAAAGCAAGGAATGGGAGTTAGGTCTAGGTTCAAGTTGTGTGACCTCACTTAACCCCCCTGAGCAACCAGGAGCAGATGGGATCAAAGCATCTGAAATCCTATTGTAAACCATAAAGCTCTATTAAAATCCTTACGTTTAGTTCTACATTCTTTGTTCTCATGTTATCAGTAAGAACATTTCATTAGTTGAAGTGCAGTTCATTATTAATAACTTGAGCTGTTGATGAGTATTTATTAGATAACCAGGGCTTCTTTGAGGGTCTGTATATTCTGGCACAGCCTACTGGCTACAATGGCACTGACACATTCAAATTCCATTCCGTTCCATGCCCATTTCAACTGACTGATGACGGAAGCCACAAGGCCTACGCCAATGTGAAAGGAGGAAGGAGAGGAGAAGGCTTGGGAACAGGGCAGCATTTTCCAGTTAACAGGACATGGATTTGGCACCTTACTTTCTTCTTTATAAAGAGGGGAAAAAGGTCCCCAGATGTAAGGAGCTTATCGTGCATTCTACCTCCAGGTATGTAGTTAAAGACTTAATTCTGTTTGCCCTGTAATTTGTTTAATGGATAACCCTACCATTTACTTGCTTTGGAGGAACTGAAGTTATTGCAAGATGTTAGACCCATAATAGGCATTTACCAAGACAGTAAGAATTGTAAGTAGCATACAGGGTTGCTCTTTTTACACAAAACAAAAACTTTTTTGTTACCAATTAGAACAATAAATAGTTATAATCATTTTGTAGAGAATTTTGCCAGGAGGACTTAGCAGTCAGGATTCTTATAAGTCACAGAAACCTAAGCTGTGTGATTTAAGGAGAATAATTTGTTACCATCTACTGTCTAGCTTACAGAATTGCTGGGCGGGCTGGAGCACTGAGCTGGAGGCTTTGCAGCAGGGACAGTGTCCAAAATTGCACCTACAGTCCCATCTGGTGGGAACAGCTGTCCTGCTGCCCTCTGCACCACCAGCCCTCCCCCCCATGATGCTGGTGCCCTCA